TTCTTTACTTTTTTGCCGTCTCGTTTCCATGCTTCAAAAAGGGAGTCGAAAAACAGAGAATTTTGCAGATCAAAGATTTATTTGCATAAGAGTTTGTCTCATGCCGTCGAATCTGATTTTTTTTTACCAACGCCCCCTTTTTCTCAAATTTAGAATCCGTGTTTGTATTTCTGACACAAGCAAGATAACATTCGATAGTTTCAGATAAGTTTTCTCTAAGCGCATTTGTACTAGAATTATATAAACTATCAACTTCAAAGTTATGTTATGAAATAAGGAGAAACGGATTGCAGTGAATTACAGTGATATTAAGCTTAATATTAATCACGTTATAAACCATTAAAATTATATTAATATTTTAGCCAAATATTCAAAAATAAAATATTCATGGACATATCATTTTAATGGCATATATATTTTAATGGATGTGCATTTTTAATGGGACATCTATTTTAATGGGACATCCATTTTAATGGGATATATATTTTTAATTGGATATTTATTGTATTAGGGTAAAGAATTGAGAGGAAAGAAAGCCATCAGGAGACGAAGACTGAAAGAGACGAAGGAGAGGAAAAAGATAGGCTGTCCTCTATGGTACGTAGACTTTATGAATTTAAGGGTAGATTAGCGGTAAGTTCTCGTCAATTTACAGTTGAAATGGCGAAATGTAACCATAACTTCTCTGTCAACAGTTTCTTCTCTCGCACTTCTCGTGTAGCGTTGCTGCTCAGACCAATCACCAGGTTCTAGTCGAACGCTTGTGGCCCTATACAAGGAAAATAAGTATTTGATTGGATCGTTATCCAAGAAAGAAAGAGTATGAGTCGAAATTGTAATAGGTGGTAAATTTTATTTTAGGTGTGTAACTTCTTTCCTGAGGCGGGCGTGCAAGTGAGTGATCCTCTAGTTTAGGCCACTAGGAACCACTGTCTCATACCGAACACGCCTTCTTTGTCTTGTTAGTTTTCTTCTAAAAAAAAGGCATTGGTCAAGAACCCAAGAATAGGATACAATAAGATGTCATACATTGTCAGAATCGGTTCACCTCGTTCTTGGGAGATTCGCTCCACTTGTCAAAACGATTTGTGTAACATCCTACATATGTGTCCATAACAAGATATCAGCTTTCCAATCAAATTTTATTTAAAAGAATTTAAATACAACATCACTGGTTAACTTCTTCACTTATTAATCTCTGAACTTTTACTGAAGGCAAGAGACGGTGAAATATAGAGATTTGCTACATTGGATAATACTGTCATTCAAGTAGATCTACTAAATTCTTTTTTTGTTTTTCTGGCTTTTTTTTACCTCTGTCTTCTTCTTGTCAAAAGAAAAGACACACATTATATAGGCGAACACCTGGAAATTTATATTACTATCTCGTTTCTAGAGTTGAAGATTACCTGATACACCTATTGACGCTGAAATTGTTACAAATTGCAATTAACACCCGTTTCTTCACTGGGCTTATTACACCGATATCATCAAGTTTTCACAAGACCAATGTATGCCGCCCTGATTGCAAGCTACGGTAACCAGGTCGTGGATAGAAAACTGTTGCTGATGAAAATGTTTGTTTTGTCACTATCAACGAGACAAATAAACGCCCGCGAATCAGTTAGAAAGATTTCTTAAACAGAGACACTTGTATCTTCGTCAATTGTCAGTGCAAAAAGTTATACAATATCTCATCCTGTATATAAAATAGTTCTCTCACACTCACTCACTCCCTAACTCAGGAACAAAGACACACACATAGATAAACACACAAGCACACAAATGCAGTGCTGTTCGATAAAAGTGACTCACCTGATTTTTTTACTAAATGTCCTCTTTTCCGATGAAACGAAAGTTGAGGCTAATTCAAAGGATAAGCGATCTAAAATCCGAAGAAGAATCTTAGAAAGCTCTTTGAATTTAGCAGTAAGTACTGTCAAGCATCTGTTCAGTATAATGTTCTGGGGATTCTTTTCTTTTCATGGAACTGGTTTCTTAAAACCTATTGAAAAGACCCTCAGGAGCGAGCAGTATAAGAGAATTTTAGAGTCTTGTCTGCTCCCTTCTGCTGAAAGGGTCCAAATTGACCCCGCCAAGCTCATTTTTTATGCAGGATAATGCTCCTTGTCACAAATCAAATTTGATGAAGGAATACTTTGATGAGAAGCAGGTGAGTGTCATGACATGGCAGCCCCAATCTCCTGACCTCAACCCCATAGAAAACTTATGGAGCATTATAAATTACAGGGTCTCGGGAAAGCAGATGATCAACAAAGAGGATTTGATTGTGAATTTCATATCCAAATGGAATTCAATGCTTGGAGATGACATTTGCCAGAACCTTATCAAGTCAATGCCAAAAGGGTTGAAAAGGTTATTAAAAATAAAGGAGGACCCATAGATTATTAAATATTTCGAACTATATTACCTATTATAAATAAATTATATACATCTATTATTCTTTATTTAAAGCTGTTCGGTTATGTTTCTATTGATTACTAGTTGCAAGAAGTAAGTGAGTCACATTTTGCAGAGAGTTTTTCCCTAAATGTCATGCATATCCAAAATCATAATTATCAATAGAATATCTTAGGATGAGTAAACTTTTTTACTAGGTGGTTATATTAGTAAGATTAAAAATTAGTTTGACCCACAAAAACAACAGGCGAAAAAAAGAATTAAGTAAAAAAAAAATCAGATGAGTCACTTCTATCGAACAGCATTGTAGATCTCGTGTTGAGAAGGTTAGAGAGAGCGCATATGTACAATTTCTCTATAGAAATATTAGCATCCTACCTTTCAAAAAATCATCGTGACTAAGTGTTTGCTGGACATGGTCAAAACGTTGATCGCGCCATATGTTGCATTATCCCCAAGAAACTTCAAGTAAATCTGCTCAGCCTTATTTTCGTTTTTATGCAACTTATCCGCTCAGGACGCAGACGATCATGGCTCTCCACAGCTTTAAATAAACTTTGTCTTTTTGCTAATTCTCCCAAACCCTGTTCTGTCATGGATTTACTGAAGCCCATCAAATAAATTATGCATCGTTTTTGTCTGCCCTTCTTGCTCTCAATCCACCCTTTGGGTATCAGATTTTCCAAGCACCTCTTCCCCATTATTCGCCCCAGAATCCTCAATTGGATATTCTTGATGTTAATTTTAGTTTCCTTTTTGTTTTCTTATTCTCTAGAACTTCTTTGTTGTTCACATATTAAGTCCAAGATTTCCCCTGCATCTTCCTGTAGATCCGCATTTCTCTTGGTTGAAGTATTTTCTTCAACTTTGTGGAGGTTGTTCGACATTCATTGTCATATACCCGCTTGGAATGCATTCAAACAGGCCCGGAGAGAGTTGGGATCCGTCAGCCTATCTTGCCCCAGAAACACCATTCTACAGGCGGACATATATCACATAAACTTTCAATGTTATTTTCTAACGAAATTGGTCTGCATCTTCATATTCTTCTTGCCATTTGGAATTCATTTTTAGCCATCCCAATACATCTTAGGTTATCAGTTTCAGTAAAACCTTTCAACAATATACTACATCCAGCAGACCCTCGTTAGACTTCATTCTCTCCAGCACCAAAACCTTTTTCTTTCCGATATTCAACATATATTTAATAGTTGGTCTCACGTTTCAATGTCTGCCCGTCTGCTTGTGCCGATAACCATCGCTGTTGAAGATCCCTGCTTATTTACACCAAGTAGGATAATTACACAAAGGAGTTCCACAAAGATCTGTTGGATCTGCTTCACAACCTTGATATATTCAAGGAGGGATTTTAGAATAATCAAAAACCCATACTGGCAGCTAACTAACCAGATATAGTAAACTAGAAAGGGGTCTAAAACAAGAATGTGTCTTCTTAGCGGACATATTCAACGTATATAGCGCGGTGATTCTGAGAGAACTAGGATCCATTTATGGTGGTCAAAATCTTAACATAATATATGCAGATGACACAGTGTTGATAGCAGTTACAGAAAACAAACTACAATAATTTATTCAGGATATAGTAAAGAGACGCGGGAAAACTGATTCAACGTCAATTGAAAGAAAACAGAATGCATAGTTTATAACAAAAGGATCATCCCAATTTGCGAATTACAAAAATACCCAAATCAAATTTGGGAAGTGTTTTAAAAGAGAAAGGAAAGTATGACACTGAAATCCGAAGCCGTATTGGGATAGCCAAGGAAACATTCTAAAATTTAATGTCCTAAAAAATGGAAAAAAATATCAAGAGAAACAAAGAAAAGAGTACTCAAATGCAAAATGATACGTGGTACTTGTCTTCGTGTGTGGCAGTGAGTGCGGGACGATCTCCTCAAAGATGAAGGGGAGAGTTGAAGCAAAAGAAAGGTGGTTCTACAGAAGGATGCAGACTATACCACACTGAATTAAAATGAAAGAAAGAAAGAAAGAAAAAAGAGAGAAAGAAATAAAGAAAGAAAAAGAGAGAAAGAAAAAGATAGAAAGAAAGAAAGAAAAAGAAAGAAAGAAAAAAAGAGGAAGAAAGAAAAAGAAAGAAAAAAGAAAAAGAAAAGAAAGAAAGAGAATGAAAGAAAGAAAGAAAGAAAGAAAAAGAAAGTAAGAAAGAAAGAAAAAGAAAAAGAAAGAAAGGGAAAGAAAGAAAGATAAAGAAAAAAGATATACAAAGAAAGAAAAAGAAAGAGAAACAGAAAGAAAGAAAGATACAGAAAGAAAAAAGAAAGAGTAAGAAAGAAAAAGAAAAGAAAGAGAAAGAAAGAAAAGAAAGAAAGAAAGAAAGAAAGAAAAAGAACGAAAGAAAAAGAAAGAAAGAAAAAGAAAGAGAAAGAAAGATAGAAAAAGAAGGGGATACAAAAAGACGTAAAATAAAATAAAAGTTACGATAAAAAAATAAATTCAATAAAATATCAGAAAATTATAAAATCCGTCCACGTATGGAAATGAAGAAAATTTAGAAAGTTTGGCAACAAAGAAACAATATATATATTTTTTGTCGTAAATTATGATGAGGATAGATGAAAAGAAATTTCAAAGAAATCAAAAGTAAATAGAAGGTGACAAGTGCAAAAGAAAGGGCGAGAGAAAGAAAAAAAAAAAAGGAAAAACAGAAGGAATAATGGAAGGTGGTAAGAAAGAAAAACAGAAAGAAAGAAGGAAATAATGGAAGAAGGTAAAAAAGAAGAAAAATAAATAAAAAAGGCAAATAATAACAATGGAACAACTGGAAAATATATGGGAATCAGTGTATAATAAAAAGAAAAGTACAAAACTAAATTTGCATGACTTTCTAAAATATAGAATGATATAGGTATCAAAATATGTAAGTTTAAAGAAACAATCAAGCGTAAGGATGGAAAAAAAGGTAAAAAGAAAGAAAGAAGCATATAAGGATAAATAAAGAAAGACAGAAAGAATGGAACAATGTAAAAAAAGGAAGAAAGAACAATGAAAAAATATAGAAAAAGTCATTGACATGAGAGTAGAACAAAAGACAATTTCGTAAACAATAAATAAAAAGGCATTTAGAAAATAAAACTTGTAAAGAAATGAAAAATATATTTTTGTAAGTAATTAATCAATTCGTAAGAAAAGATGAAAGATAAGTAGGAAAATGTTACAAAGATGTAAGTAAATAAAGAAAGAAGGAAGGAAATAAAGAATGGGTTAAATATGGGGAAAAGAAAGAAACAATGAAACAAAGAAGGAAGGGCATAAAGAAAAAGAAAAATGGCGGAAATAATGAAAAAAAAAGAAAAATGAAAGAAAGAAAGAAAGAAAGAAAGAAAGAAAGAAAAGAAAGAAAGAAAGAATGGAATGAAGAAAAAAGCAATGAAGGAGAGAAAGAAAGGAAGAACGAAAGAAAGAAAGAATCGAATAAAGAAAAAGAAGCAATGAAGGAAAGAAAGAAAGGAAGAACTAAACAAAAAAGAAAGAAAGAAAGAATGGAATAAAGAAAAAAGAAGCAATGAAGGAAATAAAGAAAGGAAGAACTAAACAAAAAAGAAAGAAAGAAAGAAAGAAGGAAGGATATAAAGAAATCAAGAAAGAAAGAAAGATGAAAGAAAAATAAGGAGAAAACAAAAGAAAGAAAGAGATAAGTAAGGAAAGAACGACGGAAAGACGGGAATAAAGAAAAAATGAAGGAAAGAAAGAAAGAAATAGGGAAAGAAGGAAAGAAAGAATGAAGTGAATACAGAAGAAAGAAACATTGAAGGAAAGAAAGAATAGGAGAAGTAATTAAGAACGAAAGAAAAGGTGGAAGGGAATAAAAAAAGAATGAAAGAAAGACGTAAAGAAAGAAAGAAAGAAAGAAAGAAAGAAAGAAAGAAAGAAGGAATGAATGTAATAAAGAAAAAAATAAAAGAATGAAGGAAAGAAAGGAAGGAAGAAGTAAGGAAAAATGAAAGAAAAAAAGAAAGAAATGAATAAAGAAAACAAGAATGAATGAAGGAAAATAAGAAAGGAAAAAGTAACGAAAGAACGAAAAAAGAAGAAAGGAAGAGGATAAAAAAAGAATGAAGGAAAGAAAGAAGTAATAAAAGAAATAAGAGGAAAATAAAAGAAAGTAATTTTAATTGAAAAATGATCGAAATAATGAATGACACAAATTATAAATGAACGAAAAAATGAAAGATGTCGATGAACTCATTAAAGAAGAAAGACAATAGATAATATTTTAGTGATAAAATGTCATATAATAAATGAAAAAAAAAATTGAAATAAAATAGTTGAGTTAAGAACGAAAAAAAGAACGAATCTTAGAAAACTTACTTTAAAATTAAAAAATAGAAATCATGACTGAACCAGAAAACGAAGTATCTTCAACAAAGTAATGAAAGTATGAAAATAAAAAAATAGGAAGAAATAAATAGATATGATGAAAGAAAGAAAATGAAAAAAAAAAGAAGATAATACATACGTAATAGAAAGAATAAAAATAAAAATAAAAATTAAAAAAAAAGAAGTGAATGCGTGTCAGTGTTTAAATTTGCCAAAAAAGAACCGGAAAGGAAAACAAATAAAACTATGAATAACAAGACAGCAAAACGAATAAAAAAGTCAGCCGCAAAAAAAAAAAAGAAAAAAAGAAATCATCCAAACGGGAACCTCTAAACAATGATAAAAACGCTAGCAAATTTAGCATAGAAAAGCCAACAGTCTTTATCAATTGTTTACGAGCAAGCTTTAATTACAACTCTATCAATCATGTCTGGCTTGGTAAAGCGTAAGTTTCCCTCAAGCCGAGGTTCATCAGGAAATCGACTGTGTTAAGGTGGAATGATGGTCAAGGGAGAAAAGTAATTGTTTCGCAATATTCAGCCGTTGGCCACGATGAGAACTGGTGTTTTTAGTTCCTGGCAACAACTTCTATTTTTCTTTCTCTACAGCTAATCTATAGTTCTTTTTTTTTCTTCTTTTTTTTTTAGTCTCTCGACTTCGAGCAGTGTTAATACAACAATTTATATACGGGCTATGTTTTTCGCCGTTCTTTCTGTCGTCCTTATCGACATCACATTCTATTATGGAGCAAGTCATTGATAATGAACAGAGCAGGTTTGAATTCTCTCGTTCAGGTTATAAGTCTCTATGAGCACACGGACAATAAATGGCCACTGGCTCTCAGACGTTGGGGGAACGAGGAAGACGAAGCTATCGACTGTAGTTCTCAATAACTATATGCCTTTTTTTTATCTATTTATTACCATTCTCTATCAGTACGGTTTTGTTTTTCGTCGATCAGTCGACTCGTATCTATATTGGGATGAACTGATTAAGTTTCAGTCTATACCATCTGAAAAAAAAAAAACTAACTACAGGACTGACCGTTGAATCACGATTATCTTGTTACTTGTTATTTTAATTTGGAATATGCAATAACGTAAATAAAAAATTACATAAAAAAAAATGATTTTCAAAATTATTTAAAATTATATAGTTTCTGTAATACTTGATATTAAATCTTTTATATACTGTCTCACTTAAGAACACGCCTCTCCACAGATTTCTGTCTTTCTAGTCCGAAGTTATACTTATATTTTTACCTTCCCATTAATTTACTTTTCCGCCATCGATTCATATAACTACCTAAGCTAGGCGGACGACTCCCTTCATCTGTTCAATTTTACCTTGTGAGTGTCAAAGTTTCCAAATCGTTTTACCGCATTATGCGTCCCAGAAACGTTAGCTCACGGTTTTCTGATTGTAATTATAAGTGTTCTTTGTGTTTCCATTTACTTAAATTTAGACGCTGAGTTCATGGAATTCTTAGAATCCTTCTGTATAACCACGTATCTGATCCTTCAACTCCTCTCTTCTTCCGTGAGGATATAATCTAGTATTTATTAATATATAGGAGGATTGTTATTACATCGATGACAATATTTTTTTTATGTCAAGGAACACACGTTGCCAATTTTGTGATGCCAACGAATACTCGTTGTCACTTTCTTAATGCTCGTTGAAGTAGAGACTTTGTAATCGCAGATGGAACTATATTAACGCCGTTGAAAAATACTACTGTCAAAGGCCTTCGAATATCACTCGCACTAATAATACTTGCTCGATAATACTCGCTCGAACAGCAACCCGTATCGTGATCTGAATAGAACAGTAGTTCAGTGAATATTATAGAGAATAGTGGTCCGTATAATAATAGAGGATAGACTAGAAATAACGATTTTAACAGTAAGAGAGGATAGAATAGAAATAACGATCGTTTAGACTTCACGCAACTTCCTACTTATAAGTGTTTCTTCTATGGTCACAAAGTCTACTTAATTCAATAATAGGGTCAACTGTTTGCTCACTGGCGTTCTATGTTCAAGCTCTAGTGTCGGCAATGACACTTTATTCCTATATAACAATTTTATTTTGTTCTAGCAATATGTTCCTTTTTTTACTACTTTTCATAGTTCGATCTTTTGAAATCAGACTGGAATCTGACTTCTCAGAAAAGAAAACTCAAAACTCGCAAGTCTGACAGAGAAAGACAGAAAGGAAATGATTAGGGTTTGAGTCAACAGCACATCGATATATGCCATCGACACCTTGGACATCTGCTATAGACAGGAGCAACGTCTGTGCGATTTCCAACTTCACCGTTTGAAAGTTATTCTGAACATCATGTGAAAAGACCGTTTCAGTAGCTCTTAGGTCCTACCCCAGGCTAAGGTAACCCGTCTCTACCATTTGCTCCATAGTCTGCGATGGCAAAATGATGGACATTTTTTGATCCAACGGAAGGTACCCCAAATACCTTCAGTTTATAAAATCGATCACGCTTAGTTGCTGTGAATTCTTTGCTCTACTTCCTCAACATCGTTGCTGCTGGCTGCATCATGTATATCATAGCCCGCGATGAGTTAGTAAACTACATGCTGTTCGAGAAATTGACTGCCCCTCCGCCGGAACGTTTGGATAAAACAACAAAGATGAGGACAACAGTCCGAATATAAATAATGTAAATAATTAAAATTATTTATCACAGAAATTTTTTTTTTGTCTTTCTTGTGTAGTCTACTGACATTTATCATGACGGTATAAAAGATGGACATCTTTTTTTGGCTTCCGTATATAAGAAATAATCGGCGATTTACAATACTTCAACTCTTCAGTCGATTGTTTCATGTAAATCAAAACAAAATAAATAAACAAAAGCAAGTGGAAGTAAAAAAATAAAAAAAAGAATTGAAAAAAAAAAAATAAATAAAATGAGAACTAACCCAACAGTTAATTTGCTTTCTTGCAAAAAGTTTCTGACGGAACTATATTTTACGAACCTTCACTGGTATAAATAAATATGGCGAAAAAAACATGCTGGCTCTATCTGTAGTACGTTTCAACATTTTTTTCTTACAATTGCTTCTTTTTTACTTGTCTTCACTCTTAGCATCGAATGCCTAACCTAATTCCATTAGGCAGCCTGCAAACACTTTTTCCTGGAGCTATAATAATAATAATAATAATAATAATAATAATAACGTATTCATAAGCTACAGGAAGAAGAATGGGGAATTCGACCTTCAACTTTAAGCGAATTACAAGCTGTTTCCCCCACAAAAGAGCGTTCGTGGCGTTTCGTGTTTCTGTAATTCAAACGTTTGAAATAAATCATGCGACCAAATTTCATCACGGGGAAAAAATATCGATTTTCAACGAGGAAGTCGTGAAAATGTCTCGTAGTTTGTTTGCTCCTTGCTTTTGTATTAACCGCAACCGTTTTGCATCCATTATATATTTATTTTTGTTTTCTTTTGTCTTGTCTTTCGACCTAGGTGCTAAATAAAACCCAAAGCCTTTGTGTTGAATGAAGGAAAGAAATAAAAGAAAAGCAAGACAATCGGTAAAAGAAACGAAAAACGCAAGCGAAGAAAGCACATGTCAAAAGATAAAATTTAAAGAATCCGGGATGACAAAAGCAAGAGGCAAACGGAGATAATGATAAAATGGATAGACATAAAAAAAATAAGCATATATAAGTTAAAAAAAGATGTCGACAAAAGAATATATTAGAATTTAACGAAATTAGAATAAATAAAAATAACTTAAAAACAGTATGTGAAGAAAGAATCGAAATAAACCAAGGCTTAAAGGAATAAGGGAATTTTAAAATAACAATAAATGTTTAGAAGATAACAGGGAAACATTTTGAAAATCGAGAGAAATAACAGATGTAAACTAACAGATGCGAAATAACAGATGTCAAAGAAGGCAAAATACTGATTTCTAATCCTTTTTTTTTTAGTAAAACAATAAGTATAACTTTTTACACATGAACAAAGCAAAAAGAAACATTTTGAAAAAGAATTACTGCAGTGTGAAAACTAAAATTGGTGACATATTAATGTACGGATTAAAGGGAGGTAAATATTGATTAATTAAAATAAAATATACCGTGGTTCAAAAATAAACAAATAGTACCAGAACGGTTTTGAGTTAGGTGGCTAATAATAACAAGGTTGCAGAAAAATTACAATTCTCCTTCTTTTGCTTTTAGCCTTTGGTTTCGACATTTTGAAGCCTCCGAAATATTCGACCGGCGCTTAATCGGCCTCCATAAAACATCTACAATATTAAATAGTAAATTTTAATATTAAATAGTACCTTTTTTGTAAGCAAATCACCACAAACAAGGCGGGAGTGCCACTAGCAAGCAAGGGTTTACAGAGAGTGAGAGTAAGAATAAAGAGGAATGTTTGGGAATATGATAAAGAGAGCAGTGATCAAGCTCAAGGCATTAGAAGATGACGATTGACATTACATTTGAACATTTGAAGATTATGGCTATCAGGGAAGCAGGTTATATGAGGGGAGTTCCACTGCCGGGAGGTGTGAGATAAAGAAGCTGTTGGAGTAGAAGAGATCGCTACATTTGGTCGTTTCTACATTGAAATGCCAACCTAGTAGGAAGTCGTGAAAATGCCTCGTAGTTTGTTTGCTTCTTGCATTTGTATTAACCGCAATCGTTTTGCATCCATTATACATTTATTTTTGTTTTCTTTTGTCTTGTCTTTAGACCTAGGTGCTAAATAAAACCCAAAGCCTTTGTGTTGAATGAAGGAAAGAAATAAAAGAAAAGCAAGACAAACGGTAAAAGAAACGAAAAACGCAAGCGAAGAAAGCACATGTCAAACATGTTGCGTTTTTCGTTTCTTTTACCGTTTGTCTTGCTTTTCTTTTGCAGTTTGGGTACCAGTGAAAGTAGCTCGTCGGAGCAGTTGCCATGGACATATTTGTAGAAAAGACAGAGGGAAGCCACAGCACGTCTTGAGAAAATATAACAGTACTTTTTATAAAATATTAATTAGTACCTTATCTTATATATCTAATATCACGCATACCTACTTCTTTTTATGTGATATTTCCATTTAAAAGTTGGTGATCATGTCTCTGTATAACTTCCTGTCTTTTGTAGCTCTTAGTAAATGTTATGCCTTTGCTTTCTCTGCTAAACATTTTTCTGCCATCGATTTGGAAAAGCTCGTTAGGCAGTGGGTATTTCGCTGTTTCCCTCTGTCACTCTTACTGTCAATTCGTCGTGTAAGTGCCAGATTTTGTAAAGCATATTTCCACCACAACTACCTATCTTTTGTAGCGTTTAATACGTTGTATTTTCATCATGCCTACCACTCCTTGTTCTGGGATATATTTACATAATCTCTTTAGCTATGTTATTCGCTGACTTCCTCTGTTCGTCTTTTTTGTTTTTTTAGCACGGTCAATGAATGCCGAATGTTTCCTTGTAAGGAAACGGATATATTACTATTGCAATTAGTCAATGATCACTCACTTTCTGAAGTAGATATTTACTCTGTCTCCCCACTAAGACGAGTTGAGGCCTTTCTTTTTTTAAATTGGGACCCGAACGCGTACATTCGGACAAGGAACGAATTTGCCCGCAGGCCCCGCAACCGTCGCTTGCGCTGGCCTCAGTACGATCACAGATCCTCTCACTATCTGGTGCAATGAAAATGCGCGGCCTAAGGTAGCTGTTCCCCAGGGCTGGGCACCTCTCAGTATAATGTTCCTCAGTTGTGACTCTGTCCTTTGACGGAGTCACCCCTGCGTGCACTCTCCCCAAAGACAGATATGCAAATGTAAGATGATAAATTGATGTGTTATAAACGACTCGAGTTATGGGTTGTGAAGTAACTCGACAGATAGAAGAACGATTAATATGGATAAGAATTACCTTACGACGAAATGCTACAAACCCTGTTTTCGGACAATAATTCTCAAATGTCTTCATTTATATATTGAACAAATCTTTCTAGATCCAGCATCGTAAAAATATGCCAAGCAATAATTAGATATTTTACGGTGATTTATTGTTCTTCGCTAATTATGATTTCAATATATAAAAATCTAAGTGGATTTGACGATCTGAAGAGGAATAGATGTTAGACATTTTCATGACGGTCGTCTTCGAGTATAGAATCCAGAGGTTGGCAGTGAATATTTCGGAGACAGTAGGAAAGCGTAGTGCAGGTTCGCAGTGGATATCGCAGCAAAGTAGCAGAGCGTAGTTCTTCCGTCTGTCATGTTCGCCGGACAAGTGGCCTCTGGTCATTCCGGTAGGAAAAAAGAGATGGCCACCTTTATACACGACGGATACAGTGTTGTGCGGCTTCTGATTGGTCAACCTTCTATTGGTAGACTATAAAGGGAAATAAGCCATTTTGACTCACTCACTAGGTATATATAGTATACACAAAAAACCGTAACAATAGACGCATTAAACACATATTAACCAAATGTTTCATGCTTTAAACTAAAGTTACACAACAATTTTCATGGTTTTCTTGCTAGGGCGATTGAGACTGTTTGATAATCAATTCCTATAGATTAATAAACGATTAGTGTTTGCTAGATATTGTTTAGGCGTTTGGATGAATTAGCATTCTAACCATGAAAACTGGTTTCAAAACAATAGACAATTTGTCAATGTGCCGACTTCTATATATAACACTCTGGGTAAATAAACCGATCATATGCATTTAGTAAATGTCTTGTGAGTGAAATTAAGCTGACGTTAATATTCGAAAGCAATCTATAACTTTGTAAATCCCAAAAAGTGGAGACCGAGCTTTTGGCAAACAGACTTTATTCAAAAACAAATCAGGCTAGAATATAATGTCTCTCCCACAAAAATGCACCCAGGCCATCTCAGTATACTCGCCCTAAAAAGTACGCATTATGCTGTTGACGAAGAAACAAGATTAAGACAGCCCGCATCTACAATAAAAATAACTGATCACACAAATAAATAGAAATTCGCAGAAACAAAGAGCAACCCACTATGTCACAATAAAACGTTTCACAGAAGATTCTTTAAATTTAACGGAAATCACTAAGCTACTGTCCTTTTTCTTATTATCTGTGCCAAGATGATTAACCATGCACGTCTTATCTGTAATCCATGGAACCCTTAGACGTCCAGGGCTGCGTTTGAGGTGATACGTGTTGTTAAGATAAAGATTAAAATATATATCTTCTGAACAGTGCTTTTCTCAATCAACAGTTTCCCCTTGAAATAAAAGAAAAGAAAATTATCCTG